ATACAACTTAACTATCAACCCCACACTCAACCAAGGAATTCCCAATTATCACTAGCTTTAGATGATCTAAATGTTGTGAACTACAAACACCAAAAAATACAATCACATAAGAACCAAACTAATTCATGCTCTGCCTCCAAAGATAACACCTTCCATGTACTTTAGAGAGTTATTGTCCTATAAGGCTCACACGTATTTTAATCCCTCCTACCTTTTCATGTCATTACTAATTTTTTTACTCCATCTGTCTTTTCCTTCAAAGACTTACTATGTCATCCTCAATCAATCTTTAAGCAAAGTCATCTAATATAACTCATCAATTATTGTACCATGATCCTCCAATTATATTCTTTATGAATAATTCTTATAACCCAATTGTACAAAAATTAAGTCATCACTTAAAATTTAATTCTACCCAAAGTAATACTAGCTAACTAGCCATATTGCTTCTAAACTACTATCAATAATCAAATACATGGTCATAAAACAACCTCTAATCCACTCAAAATAAAAATCACAATTTTTACTCATATTTCAAAATTGACACCAATTCTTATTTATTTTTATCATACCCCTCCAATTGATTGTGAGCATTGTACTATTTTATAGTCTCTTAGTCTCCTTCATAGAAGATATATCCATCTCAAAGTTTTACTATCAAACCAAAATTTTTAATCTTTTTTCAATTCTTAACCTCTCTATCAATTCCAATAACTTCACCTAACAAAAATTATATAAAGNTTTTACTATCAAACCAAAATTTTTAATCTTTTTTCAATTCTTAACCTCTCTATCAATTCCAATAACTTCACCTAACAAAAATTATATAAAGAAAGTCATAGTTGACCTTATCTCCAAGCAACAAAACTGAATTACCATACATGTTTGACTTCACAAAGTAAAGCAACTAAGGGTCAAGTAAAATAATGAAAATTGACATAACCTAAAAAATCGGCATACCTTGAAGTTTTTTACTTTCATACATTTTCAAACAAAACACACTAATATTCTCTATGACATCCAAAATTCATGATGCAAAAATAATTTCTTTGCCATCACACATGTCTTCTAACTATCTCCAATAGTGGCACACTCATTTCCCTGCAGCTCCCATATAAGACCTAATTCCTAAGCTCCGATACTAATTTGTCATGCCTCAAATTTCACAAAAGCGTGATTGAAAAAAATTATTTTGTTTATTTCAAAAACACATGCCGATTTGTTATAAAAACATATAAAAAAGTATCTCTTTAGTTAAATAAATTATTTTTTTGGAAAATTTTGGCAGAATTTTCTTTGAAAATGGGGCATCTAGATAATTGGTGAGAGTAACATGTGAGAGTATTAAACTTAATAATTATACTCAACTAGTTATTTACATCATATAAATCCCTTCTCATGATATCCACAAATAAGTCATTATCGTTTAATACTAAGGTGGCAAATGGAGGCCCATGAAATCCTCCCAAACTCGAGTTATAATCTAATTATCCAAAATTCTTCGTCATGAGCATAATATACAGTATATCTAAAATCTTTATAAGTAAACCATTTAAAAGGTCTCAATCTATACATATTCCCTCAAATTAACCAAGATATAAATCACTTACAAATCTTCAATAATATACATCATCGTACATTATTCTTTATATACTCTAACTAAATATATAAAAATTGTAACAATTATCTTTTGCCTCAATACTCCCACTATGCAGCCCACCAACATATGCCTATAACTGAAAATGTTAAATGATAGGGGTGAACAACCATATGCTCAATAGGATAATCATTTTTTTCAAGTATTTACAAAATTTTAAATACCAACATTTCACAAATCATACGAATAAGTAATGAAAACTTTCTATAATCTAGTATAGGAACAAGATAATAAGTAAAACATTTATAAAAATCTCTCAACACATCGTCATTAGAAATATACAATGTATAAATTAAAGGTTTACACATTTTAAGTCAAATCATCATATCAAATATCATGCATGTCTCGCATGCGGACAATATAAACAATCACACCGATTCACACCTGAACCATCCTCGGGGAACCTTTTGGGTCTTACACTCTAGGGTCTCATCACTCTTCTTGCTTTTCAAGAGGAACGTGTAGGGCATAATTTGTAACGTCACATAGGCCATCACCGAAAATCACTACCATAACTAATCCCCCTTAGGACTAGTAACCACCTTGACAACCCACTCAACAGGGCCCAACCGTCTACTAACCCTTTGTCTGTCAGTATCGAGCATACATTTATAAAAAATTATTATTTTCTATATCCATAAATCCTTTTAAAAACACATGTCATAACCTTGACATTTTATCAAACATATAGTAGGCTCAAATCTCAAAATTTGCATTTTCAAATCAACATAACTATTTCTCAGAGAATAAGTCATATATATTATATACACAATCATAACATACTTTAAAACCCCCAAATCATAAGTTTAATCAAATACTCATGACTAACATCAAACTAGGGTTTCAAACCCACAACACAAAAATCATTTTCATTTCTAAGAGAATAAGTCATATATATTATGTACAAGATCATAACATACTTCAAAATCCTCAAATCATAGGTTTAATCAAATACTTATAACTAAAATCAAACTAGGGTTTCAAACCCATAACCCTAAAATTATTTTTATGCACGTGGATTCACAATTCATGGTATACTCAACACTAAATCAAGGTTTATAACAAGTATTTGACCATCAAACACATAGTAAGATTTAGTTAAAGAAATTACATGAGGTGCACAATGTAAATGCAAGAGAGAGGAAAATTTCACCTAAGAATCAAGAATTCCAAGCTTAATCTCCAAGATTCTCAAGCCAAGTCTAAGCCATAGAGCCCTTATTTTATCTTCATTTCTCTTTCTCTCTCTAGTTCTAAGGTGGGTGGAGGAGTTTTGGGAGAGAGATATAAGAAAAATAAGAGAAATGGAGGTGAAAATGAGATTATAAAGGCTGAAATTCGTGCCGGGTGTTATTCATAGGACAAAAAAAATGTATTTTCTCTAAAATAATGGTTTTGCCCCAAAACTTCTCCTATTTGATCCGTATGACTATTTTAAGGTTTTTCGACGTTTCAGATCCATTTTTAATGTTATTTTAGGCTAAAAATATTTATTTTTATGATTTCTATAAAGATCCAAGCCAAATTATATCCAAAATGTCAAATTTACAATTTTTACCTTTTTAAATCGTAATACCGACTAAATGTCTAACTCAACTTTGTTCTCTACTCTCGGATTCAATAGCAATATTATTTCGACCTACAAACTTTTAGAATGATTATTTAACTATTCTTTTAAAGCTTACATGCCTCCAACTCTATATTTGACCCAAAAGTCATTACGCGCAAGTTTAAACCTTGTGATTATTTTACGAATTACGCTTTGAAATTTTCAAGACCATTTTTTATTATGTTATAAAAATTATTAATGTATTGTGTGTGTGTATATATATATATTCCATCCCAAACACACTCTTCGTGGTTCAACAATCAACAATCCATAACATTTAACACAATCACAAATAACGAGATAATTGTACAAAAAATTTATAATGGGCATCAAGCAATTTAAAAGTGAAACAAAAAAAGGTGAAAATGTTACAAAAAATAAAGTGGATCATATTGTAGTAAATATTTATATTTCAAGACAAAAAACGATAATTTTTTTAAAAAATAAAATTATTAGTATATTATTTTAGTATTTATATTAAATTATTAAGGGCTCTATTTAACATGTTTGCTTAGGCCCCAATTTTCATTGGCCGCCTTGGAGTTTACATCTCATTTCTTGTTCATTAATTGAATCAGACTTGCGCTTGTAGGCTAGTATACATACCTTTGAGTTTAGTGGCTGACTTAATGGCTATTCACTTTGCTCTTNTTCATTAATTGAATCAGACTTGCGCTTGTAGGCTAGTATACATACCTTTGAGTTTAGTGGCTGACTTAATGGCTATTCACTTTGCTCTTGGACTTTAGGATTGCGAGTTCAGATTTCATTGTCCACTTTAAGATTGCGAGTTCAGATTTCATTGTCCTCCCTATAATAGTGTCTGAACATATAAAAAAAGAACAATGTTATTATGACCTAATTTATTGACATAATTTGTTAACCTAATTCACTGGGTCTTTTAGATTCACTGTAAACCCCATCAAACATTAGAATTTGGTATTGATCTTATGATTTCTATGAAATCACATCATTATGTCAATAAATTTTAAATTTTTAGGTCTATTACGTATAAAAAAAAAGGACATTTCTTGTTTTTTCTTTTAAAAAGTAACATCAAAAACCAAGCTGCTGAATGAATATGCAACCCTGAAGCGTTTGCAAACGAAAAAAAGAGGCAAAAAAAGGGCTGGGATTGATCTAAACTTCAATTATTTAATGTTCTAGTTCAATGTTTTATTTTATAAGTTTCTGGACTATTTGGGTAAAACAAGAGTGGTATCAATTCTTGAAGTACGTACTAGTTTGACTACAAATTATATATAATATCTTAAAACTAGTGAGATGAGATTGATATGTATTGCTCCATAGGTGTCAAATATATGATAAGTTTTTGTTAAAGTTGATGTAACACAATTAATTGAGTATCGACGCAACATTTTAAATGAGAAAGAAAAATCTGAGATTCAAAATTCATTGCTTCTATGACATTAAGGTCGCGAGTTGAAATTTCCTTATTCTTGTATTTGACCAAAATAAAAAATTTACCTCATTCGATTACCTAATCCAGTGTAGGGGTGCAACTTAGACAAATTTAACTTGGACAGTTCTCGAATTAAATATCTTGAGTTAAAGTCGGGTTCAAATTAAAAATTATATATATAAGGTTGACCCAGCGTTAATTATTCGGTCCATCCAACCCGTTCAGAGTTGCATCCTAATTGCGTCAGCTCGGACCATATAAAACCACAGAAAAAAAACAAGCGAAAAGGAGAATCAGAAAAAGTGTGGACGATGTCAGTTTTACCCTCATCTATTTGGCTTCCTGCTGTCTCTTCTCATTCCGAGTCGACTCGTCGTCGTTGTCGGACTCACCTGAATGATATCAGCTCGTGTTCATTGACTAGGCAGCAGCGACTCGGCGTCGACGCCATTGTTAAGTTCGGAGTTTTCCGAAAACAAACAACCTATCAGTGCTGCTTAGCTATGCCAGTTGAAGAGGGACCCACTTCATCATCGTCTCAGGTTTCTCTCTCTACTCTCACTCCGTTTGGTTGCCGATAAAACCGATCAAACTGAGGAAGAAAAAAGGAAAGATAATATAACAACTGCCAAAGCATTATACCTTATGAAAAGTTATCACGTGATCAAGTTATAATATCAAACTTTGAGGGTCTAACTTATATCTCACAGAATTAATCATAAAATTTATAACCGATCATGAAAAATATAATTTTTAAAGGTAAAGGGACGATTGATTATTTATGATCAATCACAGTATAGTTATAAATCTTGTGAGTGATGATGAATAATCATATCTTCTTTTGAGTACTTGACAAGTGGTATTTTTCTGTTGTTTTCTTCTGATTCTAATCTACTAAATTGTGTTCTTGAATTTAAGTTTTCTTATTTTCATTTGAGATTGAATCTGATTTTCAAGACTACTAAGGAATGGAATTTTAAAAAAATCTTAAAGTTAGGCATTTTAATATAGAATTTACATGAGTCCACTTGCATGAGGAAATTACTAGCGTCTCAGATGTGACTTGCTTAACGATATGGCTAATTATCTCCATTCATTTGTTTGTTTCTGCTTTCTGTCTCTGTACCACTGGTTTATCCCACAACAGTGTGCTCGTCAAAGACAGGGCACTCTTAAATGTCAACTGATTATCAGTTGCAGGATAGCTTGCTGTACTCCAGAGCATATTGGGTCACCAAATCAATAGTTGCTTGGAATGTGGAAGCTGCAGATGGTTCTTGTTATCTGTACGCCAGCAAGACTGCTGCGTTATATGTTGCAAATAATGGAATCGAAGGTTTGCACTTTGCACTTCAGTAATATTGCATTGTAGTAGTTTTGTTGATTCAATTTCAAGTAGAAAGTTTTATGCTTTGTTGGAGGAATCTCTTGTAGATATAGTTGTTGATATTTCCATGCAAACAGGCCACGATTTGAAAATTAAGCTCGAAGAAGATAGTGCTGGGCTTCCAGAAAATGTAAGACATTTTGTTTTCAGTTCTTCTTATGGATATTAAATTCATTTGTCAATTTATTACCAAGTGTTTTGTCCCTTTGTGGACTAGTATGACCACATTCTAATAGTTTACATTTAATTTCTTAGGTTTAGAAACTATTGCTTGGTTTTCAATTGCAGGTGAAGGAAAAGTTTCCTCATATTCGAGATTATAGAGCTTATAAGGTCCCTCTGGCTTTGGATGTCAAAAGTCTGCTCAAGTGCCAATTGGCTGTTGCTATCTTCAGTTGTAAGCATTTCATATATGTGTTCCATTCTTTGTCATTTGAGATAAGAGCTTTTCGAAGCCACGAGAAAGTAGGTGGCCTACATATTCCTCTGGATGAAGCTCTAACACACACCAATAATGCCTTTCGCATGTTGTATTGCTTTAGTACCTTGTTGATGAGAACCAAATTCGTCGTATTTCTTGCTTTTATTTTCCCCTATCATTTTGTTTGATGGGCTGCACATAATGCACTTGGTATCATAAATAGTGGCTTAAAGTAATTTATGCAAATGCATACATTAGCATGGTACTTATCTGGATTTGTATGGTGCATGCCATGTTTTCTGATTCTGAGCCATTTACATTATGTTTCCTTCTGTGTAGCTGATAGGAATTGCATAAATGCTACCGGTATGCAGTTACCTGGTGTTGTTGATGAATTATTCTCGTATAATGGACCCCTTGGCGCGGTTTTCTCAAACGGAGTTGTTTCACTTTACCTTTGGGCCCCTACTGCTCAAGTATATATTATTCTGTTTTTGTCACTTAGTTCTTGTATTACTATTTTCCTAGCATCGCTATTCCTTTACAGTTCCCATTGCTTCGTTCATGCATATTATCTATCTTTTACGTGTATCAACAGGTAGTACGTGCCTACATTTACAGGGATCCTTCAGGAAGTGATCCTCTAGAAATTCTTGAGCTTGAGGAGCTAAATGGGGTTTGGAATGCTAATGGACCCAGAAATTGGGAGGGCTGTTACTATGTTTATGAAGTCACTGTTTACCATCCTAGCACCTTGCAGATCCAAAAATGTGTTGCAAATGATCCATATTCTAGAGGGTATGCTGGTTGTCTTTCTAGCCAATAATTGTCTGAAACTACTTAAAGTAGTGTTACTTCCCAACTTTGTATATCATTGCTATTTACCAGCATGCGTCTATTCTTTCCGATGGACAAATGCCTGACTATGTTCATTTTGTTCCCTTGTTCGAGTAGGCTCTCAGCTAATGGAATGCGGACTTTGTTAGTGAATCTGGATTCTGATGCTTTAAAACCTGAAGGATGGGATAACTTGGCAGATGAGAAACCTGAGCTTTTTTCTTTCTCTGACATTAGTATATATGAGTTGCATATAAGAGACTTCAGGTATAGAGCAATATCTTCTTGTTCTTTCAGTATCTAGCCCTTAGAGAAACTTTACAAAATTTGGAGTTCAGCACATTTTTGGATCTTCTCAGGATTTTGAAGTGTAGATATTGGAGAGTTCTAGGATAAAGAGTAGAATCCTGACTCATGATTTTATATTTTGTATATCTAGAAATTGCAAGAAAGATCCTACCTACTTTAGAGTTCTCTCTTTTCCTCCTGTAAGAAGCATCCATATGGGGTTGAACCCCTTTGAAACAATTTTTCACTTTCTATTTTCTGAACATGTTTGGGAAGACTTAAGTTTATCGTTATAGTTTGCAGGTTGTTTTTAATAAGTATTTTCTAATTGATATGACAGTGCTAGTGACTCTACTGTGCATCCTGACTTTCGTGGTGGTTATCTTGCCTTTACTTCCCAGGTAGATGTTTTTTCATCCAGGCTAAAAACAAATTACCTCAAGGCCAACATTCCTAAATTTCTGCATATCATGGGGTGGGTTTTCATTTTCTGAGAAACTATTACTACATCTTCTTTGATCTATACCTCTGGTAGCCTGTAAACAACATTCTGAAGTCTGTAGTACATTGAAAGTCACTATTAAGAGCTCTGTTGCAAATGGTGCAAAATATCAAGTGAACTATTGCCTCTTGATATGCAACCACCTGTAATCAAGGGCAGCTATCAAGTCTAGTTGGTGACTTTCTGTTGAGAATCTGAATCTGTTGTTTGTTGACCATGAGTGGAGCTCAAACTTTTTCATTGACAATTTTGGTTTTGGGAAAAATGGAAGTGAAAGACAATTGTGCTTGGCATGCATTTTAAGGCAGAACAATAGTTTAACCTTAAACTACCAATATTAGTGCAAAGCGCACCGGGACTATAGAAGAAGTGCGTGAACTGATAATATTTGCTTGGTTTGAGCTACACCCCTGATATGAACCCTCCTATAAGGTAGTGTGATGCCTGATAGTACTGGGCATCCGGTCAGTGCATGCAGCTGATCCAAGAAGGTGTGGTTTTTTATTTGTCAGAAAAAAGGATCCAAATAACCAGTGATTAATATGCATAGCTCCCTAGTTGCTTCAGTCCGACCAGCTTGGTTGAAAGTGAAGGGCAGTGGAATGGAAGTTCCGTTCCTGCTCATTCATCTTATTGCCAGTGCCTTGGCCTTCCTTCTTCTAATGGAAAGGAGCGGCAGATAATGGGGAAACTTGTGTTCGCATTTCGAGTTTCGAGCTGTTACACCATAACCTAATGAAGAAAGAAAGAGGAAGAAGAGGTTGAGATCTTTGTCAGTTAGGGATGGGAACTCCTTTGAAAGTAGAGTTCATTGGTTTGGGTTTCGTCCATCTGGCAAATGATCTCGCATTCGAGTGAGTGAATAAGAACCTTTCTGACACGGATCAATAACCCCATCATGTTGGACTGAACCTTGACCTTACCTTTGGGATGAGTCCTAGTTTTGAACTTGTAGGCGAATCTTCCAACTTGGGGACTAGACCATTTGCCATTGGTGGCATGGAAAGGCGCTCCACACGAAAAAGAAAAGAAAGTGGGTAAGACGCCAAGCAAAGGTCTAGACATAGATTAAAGTGCTGGGTTAATTTGATGAAGTTTCTTTTAGAGTATTGCTGGTAATGAAACTATATTGTCTGGTCTTGATTTTTCAATTATTGTGGCCTTTTTTCCTTGGGCCATTGGAGGGGCTGATGTCACACTACCATGCAAAACTGCCAACCAATGGTAGAAAAGGTGGTTTTTACCCTTTGTTTTAACATCCAACTCAAAATTAATTGGCAATGAGTGGAGAGACTCTTTAAGCATATAAATCAATATTAGGTGGTTCTTTCTAATCATTCGATATAGGATACAAGTTCTTTTTGCACCCTCCTTCACGTGGGACCCGGGCTTGGAGCTAACAAACAAGTATACGAATATGAATACCAAAAAATTTGGGCCCAACTCGGATAACATGTTAAAACATCTAACTCAACCAAAGTGGGGGGGGGGGGGG